CCACAGTCACCTAGTTTTTTAATGAGGATGGGGTGGTCGACAGTGTCAAAGGCCTTGCTGAAGTCCAGAAAAACTACATCCATGGCGACACCTGCATCCAATTCTTTTGTGACCTGAACATATAAGGCAATCAGGTTGGTCTGACATGACCTGCCCTTAATGAAACCATGCTGGTTGCCCTTGAGCATCATCCCCGATGCCGGCCCATCGCAGATGTGCTCCTTGATGATCTTCTCAAAGAGTTTCCCCAGGATTGAGGTAAGACTGATGGGCCTATAGTTGCCCGGGTCCTCCCTCCTCCCTTTTTTAAAGATGGGGACCACATTGGCTATCTTCCAATCATCTGGCACCTGGCCTGAGCACCACGAGCACTTGTAAAGCTGTGCCAAGGGCCCAGCAATAACCCCTGCTAGGTCCCTCAACACCCTGGGGTGGAGAGCATCTGGACCTGCTGATTTGAACACGTCCACACAGTATGGGTAGACAATGACACAATCTATTTCCAGGTGAGCACTCATACTATTTTTTTTTTTTTTTACCGCATAAAAATATATCTAAAGACTCAGAAAAAGTAGACAGCCTTTTCCAAACAGCTTGTGTCACAGAAATTAACACAGAGTTGAAGCCTGGAAAGGTGCTCAAATGATTATCCAAGTTAACCAAAGATCAAACCTGCAACCTTGGTATTATTAGCACCACAACGTTAAATAAAAGAGCTACACAGCCACCTGGCATATGTATTTACCAGGAAATGCAATCCAGATAATCTTTCTTTGGCAATCCCCCATAGTCAAGGACGACTGTGTTAGTCGTGTGTCCGAAGATGGCTGATGAGGCCTATCCAGGATCGACAGACTCTACTGCAGCTCGGACATGTGTTTCCATGTGGGGTGGGTGGCATTGGGTTCTTGATTTGGTCCAAAACGCGCTATTTCTGCTGCTCCCCCTTTTCCATCTCCTGTTGTTGTTGCTGTTGTTGTTGTCGTTGTTGTGAGGTTTCAAAGTAGTGAGATCCTGCAGTAGACTCTTCCTCCATTTGGGGCAGCGCTGAGCAATAGTCTCCCATACGTTGACATTGGACATCGTATTTTTTTAAGTTGGCATTGAGGAAGTCCCCGAATCGCTTGCTCTTCCCTCCTCTTCAACTTACACCTTGGCTGAGCTGGGAGAATAAAACTTGCTTTGGGAGTCTGGAGTCGGACATCTGGATGACATGGCCAACCCAACGAAGTTGGTGTTGGATGATCATTGCCAAATACTCGTGGGGAGGACGCTAACGTTGGTGCGTCTGTCTTCCCACTGGATTCAGAGGATCTTCCACAGGCATCATTGATGGTACTTCTCCAACAACATTAGATGTCTCCTGTTCGTTGTCTGTATCTTAGCTCTGTACAGCAAGATGGGGATCATGACTATTTGGTAAACCATAGATGGTTTTAATCCAGAGAATATCGTTTCCAGCATGACATAAATGTGCTCCAGTTACATCATCGAATTGCAGCCTGAGATTTTTCCAAAGAACTCAACAGCATTAGGTGTTTGACTTTCATTGCCTTTCAATACAAGTTGGAGAATGACTCCCTGTCACTCTTTTTAAAAATCCTACTTCCACTGATTTATTGTGACTCTCACTAAGGTCCTAGGCATCCTTTTGTGAGGGGGGAAAAAAGTATGAAAAATGTTGAATCAAATTTCCTTCCCAGATTTAAATATTATTGTTACCAGTTCATAACCTCACTGGTTCCAGAAAGGGTCACATTTCCTCATGATAGCCCCAGTTCTGCCAGGCTACATTTAAACCACTGGTCCAGCTTGAAAACGTTAATCAAACCACACGTTTCTAGGTAAATTGCCAACTGCCTCTTCATCTGAGGAGCATCCATGCTATTTCATTGCAACCAGCCTAGCCCAAACCAAGTCCAGATTTACCTGAGAGTAGCATGATACCAAAAACTTCCATATTTGGGAGCCTGATCCAGCAAAACACTGAAGCACAAGCTTGAGTCTTACAGAGTTGGGTGGGAATTAGGCATCTTAAACGCTTTGCAGAATTGGGGCTCATGGGGCTGTCGACCCAGGGAGTTTATTCCAGATTAAAGTGAGGTGTGAATGTATGATTTTCCTAGCACCCTTTATGAATGCACACCTTCTATAATCTCCTAGTCTCATCCTATCAACTGCTTTTCCTTCAGCAATGTGAAGCATTGCGCTTTGCCTCTGATCAGCCTATGTCATCAGTCTCTATCACCTACTTATTAGATTTTCAAACAAGTACCTCCATTCTTCTCCCATCCTTCTCTCCCTCACACTCCCAAAAAACAAATACAGATGTAATCCCTTCTCAAACATCTCATTGAACACAACACCTACAAAAAAACTTGAGCGGGGTAACGCTGCTGTGTGCCGAGATCATTGCCTGTCACACTGACCAGGGCTGTCTCTTTGTTTCTTTGCGCCCCCCTCATCTATCTATAGCCTCTTCTCTGATACTTAGATTGGAAATTTTCTGGGACGGGGACTTATGTTTTTGCACAACGATATCAGAAATAGTAATAATAATAATGGGTTTTGTCACAAATTAAAACTGGAAAAAGTCACGTATTCTGCAATAAGTCTGTCCACACAGTACGCTAGGCAGATATCCCAGCTAGCGTCTCCAATAAAGACCTGCCCTCCGTTCCTTTTATGGAGACCTCTCGGAAAAAAAAATCTGATGATCGTTAGGTCTGGAGAGCCACGCGTTTTTGGAGGACGCCAGACTGCAAAGAGGTTAGAAACACCTTGGGAGCCTCAGTCAGTCCAAGAGCTCACCTTCATATAAAGTGTGAACAAGCAAAATGAGACATTCTGGGGAAAGTTGATTACAGAATTTCCTTTTAAATGAATAACATGGCTACTCTTGATATATAGGGTCTCAGGTTCAGGGGGTTTTATACTGTAAATAGCCCCCCAAATAGCAATGATGTGGTATGCTTGATAAAAGCGTGATTATATACAATTGCTGTTTCCAAAGTAGACCTCTAGGATATTCTTAACAAATGTACTTTAGATTTTAAAGTTTTAGTCCATTCATTGTTCACCATTCCTACCCCTTCTCATTTACCCTCCCCAAACCGACTGTGAAGCTGACAGCAAAACGGCCTGGTTATTATAGCAGCTTAAAGCCCTTTGTACTAATTTATTCTGTATTCATGACAGACACAAGGGCTCTTAAATCCAGATTTGTCATGTTCAATAGTCAGCTGAGCTCCTTTTGAGGCATGCAATCATCCTAAATCCCTAACCACTGAGATTGGCATGAAAGGAAGAAATGAGAAGTCAGAAAGGAACTTCCCATTGATTAAAGGCAGCTCAACTAAACCGAGCCTGGTGGAAACCAAAGGCTGATGGTGCATTTCAATAAAACAGGGATATACTTGATTTTCGTATTGCAGCTGTCAAATTGCAGATTCTTAACGTTAGCAGAAGAGCAGGAAAGCCAGTTTGACAGACTTGTTCGGAGCAACCAAATGAACAATATTGTTGAGATTTATTCGGGCGGCCACCCGTGGAGCACAGTAAGTACCGTAATAGCCACCCTTTGCAAAGGTAACAGGTAAGGTTTCCGGTTAAAATATTAACTGCTTGTTTTTGCTAATCATTAACTTGTCATTTGAATAATATCGTGCAAGTATAGCATAGACTTATCGCCAGATGTTCTTAGAAAAGGAGATCCTCAAAGACAAGACGTTTGGAAGGCAGAAAGGACTAATGAAAAAGCCTGCTACTAAAATATCGCGTGCGTTTTCTCCTTCTAGGTGGCATTAAAGTAAATAGCTGTGCGGGTCCGTTAAACAGTGTTTTCTCCATCGAGGTGGCATTGAAACACATAGAGGACCGCGAACGGAAGAGAAAATGAGCGCAAACACATAAAAAAACACAGCCAGCAGAAGCGAAAAGCTCCGCACGCCCAATCTTTCCTTAGGGAAATGAACTTTTCATCGTTGAGAGAGTATCTAGATGTGACAACTTAAGTGAAAACACGCTTGGTGTTTTCGATGGATCTTCAGGCGCAGGGTTGGCTGTTGATTACACCAATGTATCCGCAATTACGCGAAGGCTTTTTCTGTGCTAAACTGCACGAGGTGCAGAGAAAAATCAAGCTTTTGGAAACGCCGCCATCCGAAAGATCAGGACGAATTCCAGCTCGCAACTGCAAGGCTCATCCTTTCGGAGCTGAGGTTTAGCCTGGTTTGCTCATTCTCTCTCTCCATCCCATAGCTAGTCCTTGTATAGAGGGATTTATTACAAGCAGGGGGGGTGGGATCTGCAAATATGTGGGTCTGATTTGCCTTGCCTAGGGGATAGGGGGGGCAGTGAGAGCTCTGCCAAGGTCCCAGCACCCCTGAAACGACCTGCCCCTGGGCTGGATGTGTGCTGGCCGGAGCAAGAGGGGGGGAGAGGAGGGAGGGTGCATTGGGGGGGAGCACAGGCATTTGTCCCGCTCGCAGCCGTCGGTCCGCAGGGCTTTGTTATGCTAATGCCGGCTGACATCACTGCACACATCAAAGCCGCCGGCACCTCATATAAGCAGGTCCCGCTCGCGCAGCCGGCGCAGGCGGGCGAGGAGCTCCGCGCCGGCCGCGCTGCCAAGGTAAGGGGACGCGGGCAGGCAGAGCATGGCCGGGACCGCCAGCTCCAGGGGCTGGGTGGTGGGGGGTCTCGGCAGTGATTGCAAAGTTGCTGCTTACCCCCCCGTTGCAGGGTGTTTGGCTGTGTTAGATCAAGCCTTATTAGACTCTAAGGATAAAAGCAGGCAAGGTTTTGGGGGGTGGATGATTGCAAAGTTGCTGCTTTCTCCGCTTTGCAGGGTTTTTGGCTGTGTTTGTTCACGCCTTAGACTCTATAGAGGCAGGCAAGGTTTTGGGAGGTGGATGATTGGAAAGTTGCTGCTTTCTCCGCTTTGCAGGGTTTTTGGCTGTGTTAGTTCACGCCTTAAACTCTAAGGATAGAGGCAGGCAAGGTTTTGGGAGGTGGATGATTGCAAAGTTGCTGCTTTCCCCTCTGGTGCAGGGGTTTTGGCTGTGTTAGTTCAAGCCTTCTTAGACTCTAAGGATATAGACAGGCAAGGTTTTTTGGGTGGATGATTGCAAAGTTGCTGCTTCCCTGCCCCCCCTTGCAAGCCTTTCTGTTGTGTTGGTTTAAGGATCTAGGCAGGCAAAGTCTGGGGTGGATGATTGCAAAGTTGCTGCTTTCCCCCACCCCGTTGCTGGGGTTTTGGCTGTGTTGGTTTAAGGATCTAGGCAGGCAAGGTTTTGGGGTGGATGATTGCAAAGTTGCTGCTCCCCCCCCCCACTCCCCCTTGTTGCAGTGTTTTTGGCTGTGTTGGTTTAAGGATCTAGGCAGGCAAGGTTTGGGGGTGGATGTGATCTCTGTTGTGGCCGAAGATGCAAAGAACTTTGTTCCAACTCAGTTGGTTTAATACAAGAGATCACATCTACCCTAAGAGCCTTGCTTGCTTTTCTTCAAGGGCTGAAGAAAAGTCTCCGGCAGCAGCCTCAGAGCTGTAGAAACTCCCGCAAGTGCCAACTAGGGCAGAGCTGAAAGTGATGCCAGTCCACCTGGGATCCTGGTGGATGGGGTCTGGTGGGGGGCACTTCAAGGGAGGGATGGGGTCGGGGGGGGCACTGCAAGGGAGGGATGGGTTCAGGTGCAGGGGGCACTGCGAGGCACGGAGCCTGCCAGAGAGATGAGAGAGAGATCCAGAGTCTGTGGATGTGGGAGTGAGAGCCCCGGAGAAGTTTAAGGATGCAAAAGCCTGGGTGCAGGGGAGGGGCCGTGCTTGACTCCCCCTGTTTGAATGGGGCAGTAAATGGAGGACTGGAAGTGCAGAGGGAGGCAGGCAGCCAAGCCCCCTGCCCCCGGCTGCAGGGCTCTCCAGCCTTGCTCTGAACTCCTCTCCTGTCTCGGGGCGTGCGGCGGTGGGTGTGTGGGCTGCATAAGCCATTACCCCTCTCACTGCGGGGATCTCCCTCAAGTCACTGGCTGGAGTTAATGGAGCGATCTATAGGACAGCGCTGAATAAGGTGCTTTTCTTTTCCTCTTTCTGGGAAGCTGTGACGGGAGGGTTGGCCAAGGAAGAGACTGGGTTTTTCCTCTAAAGCCTGTTTAGGAGTCAAAACAGTGATCAGATCCCAGGTTGGGTTTTTTTTTCCTCCTGTGGAGAGGGATTTGTGTAGCAGATTGCTACAGAAATCTGCTCTTAAACAACACAGGACTTGTAGGATCAACTGGATCTGGTTTATAAGGGACAACCAGCCACTTGCTGCTGGCTTGAACTGTGACCCCAGAGCCCTTCACCCTGGCAAACGGCACGTCTGCTCGAGTGACTCCCTCCCTCCCTCCCTTATGAATTTTTTGGGGGTGACTTATAAGTATAAGCTGTTTTGGAGCTAGTCTGTGGAAAGGATCACGATCATGGAGGTGTCCCCAACTCCACTCCCAACCAGCCCTTGTCCCTTTGAAAGGAAACTTTTTAAAACAGCCCTAGATTTCCCCCTTCCGAAGAGCTGTACAATTTGCAACAAGAATTGGGGAGAGTTTTAGCTGTGAACATGTCTCCGGTCTGCAAGGAAAGTTGACTCTGAAGTCTGTGTTGTTAAGTGCCTTCATGGGAGATAGATAAGGGGTCTAAAATAGCCCCCTGCCAGGAGAGTGCATGGACAGCATTAAAGGTTGAAGGTTTCAAGCGTGCCCTTGTTTTTTTGGTTTTTTTTTTAAAGATAAAAGCCACAGAAATATCTCCATGTGCGGATGCAAAGTGGTGGGGCTGGGATGCCTTGCTGCAAGAGGCAGCAAGGCAAAATAAGAGGGACGATGAAAAATATAGGGTGAAATGGTGAGAGGTTTTTTGCCTCTGGCTTCAGGGCAGCCGGGATCTCCTGGGGGTAAAAGAGCAGCGACCCTGCTGCAGGCGCTGGCTTCGCAGAGCAAGGGCACAGTCTGCGTGGAGAAGTGAAGTGCCCGGCAGATTGCAGAAAGCGTGCCAGGGGGAACAGGTCCATCAAACAGCTCCCACGGGGTATGAAAAGTAGTGAAGCCTGGAGGAGGGTTTCAAGCATGGGCACCTATTCGACCCCTTAAGAGCCAGAGCTTTCTTGTGAGTCAAGTGCAAGGCACCAGCTGAGTTTTCAGGAGCGCCTGGGGACTGTGGGTGCTTCCATTTGGGGGTCTTGTATTTGAGACCCCTTTAATCCAGGCTGGGTTTTTGAATGGTACTCGGCGATCGCAGAATATAGGGGCCCTTCTATGCATTTTCAGTTGAAGCTGGCTTTAGATTGAAATCTCGCCCGTCGGGTTTAACCAGGGGCAGAATCCGGCTGTATCATGTGAATTGCTGGAAGTGAACGAGGAAAGAAAAGGTCCTTGGGGATGTCTTAAGAGTGAGCGAAGAGGTTCCCATTCATTTTCTTGGAAGGACACAGCGGGCAGGGCTACCTCCTTTTTGAGGTTAGGGGAAATCATGGGAGACTTGAGGAGTCCTGTCCCTTGGGTGCTGAGAAAAAACCTCCCAAAAGGAGGATTCTTGAGGTCTTTTGTCTCCTGCTGGCTGCTCCCTGGGACAGGAGTTTTGATGGTGTGTTTACTCGGCATTACGGCCTCTTCCTTGAGCTCCAGGTGTTGGTGTATTTGGAAAGGAGCAAGAAGCAAAGTTAATGGGGTGAGAATGAAAGCAGAAGGGAAGGAACAAAACACACTTGTTGCAAGAGATGAGCCAGGCAGCCTCATCTGCAGGGCAAGGGCACCTCCGTTAGTCCATAAATGTGCGTGTCAGTCGTCTTTTCTGAAAGGGGGTGGGTGTTTTTACTCTTTAAACAAAAAAGAAGAGGGTTCATGGAAGATTTTGGCTTCTACAAAACCGAAGAAGGATCTAAGATTTGCCTTTTTTCCCCCAGATATACAAAACTTGCAGGGGGGGAAGAAAGGGAGGGGCGGTAAAATTGCAGCGGGGAATGAAGTCCTGCCATATGCAGGGTTAAATGGAAACACACAATCAGACCATAACTCAAGCCCTAATTCAAGCCATACGGTTTGTCTGTCTGTTGACTATAAAGGTATCAGGAGTTTGGGAGGGGGGATCTGACCTTTTTTTTATGATTCATAAACCGCTCCTTGGGCAATTTGGACAGCGGATTGCTCTTTCGGGGGGATTCACGCGGCTTGGGCGCGAACGTTACCTTGTACTTTCTCCCTGACTTTAGGTTCTTGTGCCCCCAGAAAAGGAGCGCCGTCTAAAAAGGGAAGGAAACCCATTTTGGGGAAAGATTGGGAAGATCTCTTTTTTTTGTTTGTTTTGTTTTTTAAGAGTTGATTTCCTCCTGGAAGAGGTGACTCTGGAAAGATGAAGCTGAGCCGACGTTTTTTGTTAGCAGTTTTTCTGTCTCTCATTTTGCAGCCGGGGATTTGCCATGGAATAAAATGGCTGTAAGTATTGCTCTTTTTTTCTTTCTCTATTTGCATTGACACATTCTTGCTGCCGCGCGACAGCGTCCTATAGTTTCAAGCTCTGCGCTAATGACTTGGGACGCGTCGCGATGGCTTTAGAAGACCGATCCTGCATTCTTTTGGCTACCCAAGCTCCCGCTGATTCAAGGGATCGGTTTAACAATGTGTACATGCTTTCTTTCCAAAAGGCACCTTCTTTGGTTTACAGGGAAGGAAGAACTGGTCCCAAACTCTAGCCATGTCATCCAGCTTTTACTACCCGCTTCTTCCACGCTGGGGGAAAGGACACCGATTTGTGGAGCACAAGCTGGAAGCCCTAGGTTAAGATAACGCTGGCAGTCTTCAACCGCAGGGGATGCTTGATAGAGAGCATGTTTTTTTGTGAGCCCTTTGCCCCTTCGGTTTTGGAGGGGAGAGACCTGCTGTAAAGTCAGGATTAGGTTTCTCCCCTTGTAGCAGCCCCGCACAGTTTGCAAACACACAGCCTAAGATCACTGCCCTATTCTGCTGCCTAAGCAAGCAAGCAATTAGTTGATTATCGCAAAACAAACAAGCAGGCCTCTAGATCACCCAGCTGGTTTCATCCTTTTCTGGGGTTGGGAAGGAGCTGTTGTTTTGCATATGGCTGAGAGTAAATCTTGCGGGTTAGTCCCAAATGGTTCCCCCCCACCCCCCCCCTCCTTTTTTTTATTTTTAAAAATTTTTTTTTTTTGGTAGAAGCCCTGGCAAAAATAAAGCACAACGTGATTGTTGTCAAGCAGCAAAATGTGTTTGGAAAGCAAGCTTTTTGAGGTGGGGCATCTCGTGGTTGGGCACTGGATTTGGACGCGGAAGGTCTGGTTACATTTTCCTCCCTCTGGGGCTAAGAGCAAGTCGCCGCATCTCTGCATCCAACCTGGACAATGATGGAATAACCCCCTTGTCACCCGTCCCTTTGTCTTGTCTATTGAGACAGTAAACTCTTCTGGTGAGAGGCTGTCTCTTGCTGTGTGTATTTATACCACCCACCGGCGTGGATGCCTAAGCCTCTTCAGGCATTATTGTAAAAAAAACCAATATATAATAATTTGGGGGTGCAGCAATGCATGTTAATAATGAAGTGACATTTTTAAACCCATTCAGTGGACCCTGGGCTCACTGCTTACTCCAGCCCTGATTCAGTTTAAAGCAGTGAAATGGGGGGTGTTGGGCTGCACCCTTCGCTTTGGTGCTATTGCAAAGGTTGCCTAAGAAATGGCCTTTCAATTAGTGCCAGGAATGAGCCCTCGGAAAGACCATCCATCCACGCACTACAGCAGCGCTATAGCAAGACCTGCTGAAAGGACTGAAGGCAAAAGGGCTTTGAAATAGCTCTGCTGGGGGAAGAAAAGCCTGAAGCCCTGAAGTGGTTAAACTTTTACTTGATGCCAAGGGGAGGAGGGAGGCAAGAGCAAGGGAAGGAATGGCTTTTCCCCCCACCAAGTGTGCCTCCTATCTGAAAAGGAGTGTGGCAGATGAAAGTTCAGATTAAAGTGGCATTTGAAGTATGAACTACATCCAGATGCACCGCTGGGCTCCAGTCACACCTGCTTAAAACCGGGTAGATAGCTGCACTCACGGTACAAGGGCACTTTTCATCCCTGGAAGGCTGCCAGCTAGGATGGGATAAAGAACGATATTTTTTTTTTCCATTCAAGTTTAGTTTCTCCGCACTCTCTCTTTTTCTTTTTCTTTCCTCCTCTCTGCAGCTCTGGGCCGAGTATTTCTCAGTTACACCAGCAAGCTTAGTGGAGTTACTCCTGATTTACACCCCCCCCCTTATTGAGAACATGGTATTTGGCTGAAGGGACTGTTTCTATGTCACTGGGGTAAAATTCCCAGTCTGATCTTTGCCTGAATTGGGATTGCAGGGTGGACCCCCTACATTACATTGATTGCTGCTGCTGCTTATTACTATTCCTGTAGCAAGATCAAGTCACAGCTGAGGACCCCGTAGTGCTGGGTCTTGGAAAAAGGCCGAACAAAATGATCCTCCCTGCCCCAGAGAGCTTCCAGCCGGGGTATAAGACAAGAGGCAACAGATGGATGCAGACAGGAGAGCACCAGGGAACAATGAGACGATGTTCATCACATCAGTAACCGGCAGGGGTCATAGCACACCACGAACCGAAGGGCTGTCAAAGTTTTTGATGGTGTCCTGGCAAAGGAGAGTTTTGAGGAAGGCTTTGAAGGAGGATGAGGCGCCTTTGCAGATGTGCAGGGAGGGGAAAGGCACCTTGGGGGTGGAGAAAGCAGGAAGGAGCTTGTTTGCGAGTGCCAGATGTGGGCAGTGGAGGCTGGCACAGTGGGGCTGGCTTGGCAATTTGGGTGTTGATTATGCATTTTGCTGATAGACGGGACCAAAGCAGGGAAAGCGAATGGTGCCCTTTCAGTGCAGTCGCTGTTCAGGACATCTCTGTTACTTTGCTGTCCCCTTTCCATTCCCAAAGCACGAGGTGCAAGCACGAGAACAGGACGGAGCAGTGGGGTGATTTGCCCTCGGGCTTTTGCCAGTCGCACCTCTGCGGAGCAATTTTCTCCAGGCTCAGGATGTCTGGAGGCCCAGATCTTGTGAGCAGTTTGTCACATGAGAAACTGCGTTGCACGGAAATCCACTTCACGCCTGAGTCTTTACAGGACTGGGGCTTTACCTCTGGCAGGGACTCCTCATCCCCGCAGGGGTTACACACCCGCGGGGAGAGGCTCAGGTTATGAATTTGCAATTTCATGTGAGCTATTTGGAGAGAGAGAGTTTTTTTTTTTTCTCCCCCCAGAAATGAGAGATGCTGTGGGCACCATCCCGGTCCCATCACAGCAGCCACTGGTTTTGCCATCTGGTACCCCATGCGTGCAAACAGGTCCCGTTCTGCACAGCTTATGGGCATGCTTTGCAAGGGGGTGTGAGAATTGCCTAGAGGGCGCTTATTTGACAGCTAAGCAGGGAATCAAGCTATTGCTTGGTGATTAGGAGGAAAAAATGAGAGCTGCTGTTTCTCAGGCATAACACCCTGGGTGCTCCCAGACCTATGGAAGTGCCCAGGATCTGCGACACAGAGTAGGAAAACATCACTTGCCTTTCCTAAGGGTAACATTTACTCTTGGGTGGGAATTAAGTGTTTCCTAAGCTTCATACTGCGTGCCGGGAGAGAACATGTGATCTGTAGACCCCAACAGTAGCTTCTGGGGGGGAGTGGGGAGTTGCAGGTGAAACTCCCATAGAAATCAACTCTTGCGAGAAGGACGGTAGACTCAGGCCCAGGTAAACAGTTTGTGGGGTAAGGGTATGGGGCAAAACACCTACCTATCTTTAAGATGGACCGTGACAGGAGTCAGAGCTGTCTCGTTGCAACATCAGAGGCCTGAATTCGAGGACCAGGAGGTCCCTTCTGGTCCCTGCAGGTTTGTCCGCATTGCAACCTCCCGCGCTTTCTCTTAGGAGGATCTGTCCTCCAGCTCTTCTCACTGGAGTATCTCAGATCTTGTGACATATTTAACATCTCGTTCCTTCGGGTCTCATCGTGCTGCCCCTCCAACTCCTTCAAAACCCCCAGGATCAAATCCTGCCCCTGTCCAAGTCGGCTGCAAACCGCCCCCGTTGGTTTCCAGGATGTGTTGGCAGCAGACGGGCGGGCTTATTCCATTTATCGATGGCTCAAAATGTCTCTTCTGAGAGACGGCTTTGTCCTACCTGTGCACAGACCCAGTTTTCCCTTTGCTCTAGGGGGAGAACTGCCGTGTGCGAGAGAGAGGAGGACCAGTAGGCGAGTTGCAAAGGAAAGGATCGGGCTTCTGCTTTGAAGCTTGCTCTTCTCCTTTTGCCCCCTGGCAGCTAAACCGACTTTGACAAAGCTACATGAGCGCTCTGGCCTGTCTCTAAGTAGGTGAGCCAACTCACCGCTGGCACCGACTTCACTGGGAACTTGGACCCGCAGTGAGTGGACTCCAGCCCATTCAGGCCAGCGGCGAATTTGGCTCTGTATCTGAAAGCAAGCCTGGTTGTTTTGTTTTTTTTAATGGTTTACTTTAAAGGGTCCCCATCCCCGCCAAACTTTATTTTAGTTTTACTGCACAAACTCCCCTTTTCTGTTTGAAAAGGCTTTGGTGCTAATTCAACCACTGGAACAACTTACAAAGAGAGGTGGCTCATTCCTCACCACTTCCAGTCCTGAAGTCAAGGTTGGATATTGTTCTGAAAGAGCGGGTCTCACTCACACGCAAATGATGGGCTCGATTAAATTATTGGGTGAGGTTCTTTGGCCTGTGGTAGGCAGGAGGTCAGACCAGATGATTACAGTGGTCCTATCAGGCCCTTGTATGAACAAAATCTGTGCATTTGGGTTTCTTTGCATGACATTTTTTTTTTTAAAGGTCGTCCAGTGCAAAATATTCTCTCACCATGACAGTTTGCTGCACGCAGAGCTCCCTTCCTCCCTCCCTCCCTCCGATGTCATTTTGCTTAGATTTTGTTCTTTGGATCTTACCTGAATTCCAGGTCTCATACACACCCCCACGTACACATGTATGTATGTATATGTGCGGGAGTGTGTGTGTGTGTGTGCAGGTGTGTGTGTATACACATACATATATATGTACACACACACACACACACATCATTGGCTCCATTCACAGACAAACATATATATGTATACATACATACATATATGTGTCTATATGCATACACACACATCATTGGTTCCATACACAGACAAACATATACATACATATGTGTGTCTGTATGTACATGTGTACATATGTATATAAAATACATATGTATGTATATGTGTGTGTATACATAGGTATAAAATACATATGTATGTGTATACACACACAGATATACCTACATATGTATTTTATATCTATGTATACACACACACACACACAGATATACATACATATGTATTATATATATATGTATACACACACACACAGATATACATGCATATGTATTTTATACCTATGTATACACACACAGATATATAGGTATAAAATACATATGCATGTATATCTGTGTGTGTGTGTATACATAGATATATAAAATACGTATGTATGTATATCTGTGTGTGTGTGTATACATAGATATAAAATACATATGTATGTATATCTATGTGTGTGTATACTTATATATAAAATACATATGTATGTATATCTGTGTGTGTGTGTGTGTGTGTACATCAGGGTCTGAGAGGGTCATGAGGGAGGTTGACTCCACCAGAAACTCCTCTTGACTTGAATGCTTTAAAAAAAAAAAAACGGTGTTCAAGCATCACAGGATTGTATTCCAGGTCACCCCTGGAAAGCGTTTCCCCGAGCAAAAGATTTTGGTTTGATTTTAATCAACAGTCTTGGCTGTGGACAAGCCATGGCTTCTCACGTTGTATCACACAAGTGGGGAAGGGGAAAACGCTTTCCTGGGGTGGGATCATGTGATGTTTTAAGGTGCTTTTTTTTTTTTCTTTAGACACGTTGGACTCAGTCCTGGAGCATTCAAGTCGAGGGGGGTGGTTTCTGGTGGGGGTCAACCTCCCTCATGATCCTCTCACCCTCTCAGACACTGACTCAGTTCTTTTGGTTTCTGATGTTCATCTAGATTTGAACTAGACCCTTATATGTGATGTGAGCTTTCACAGCCCTTACACATCTGAACAGTCCTTTCTTGTGCAGGCTGTGCTTGGGTTTGCCGGATCAGGCTGATTCCTCCCAGTGGATTAAATACTGCAGCTCATTCATATTTTCAAATGAATTTATTAACTGTCTGAGATAATTGAAAGAGTCAACAAGTGTCATGATGATGAATGCATCAGCCTTGCCTTGTGCTTAGGTTTATGGGTTTCGGTCCGTTTGATACCCCTGCTGTCGTGTATCCTCTCTCTGGAAGGTGTGGATGGGTTGTCTACTAAGAATCAAACTTAGGTGAGGACTGTACACAAGCTAATTCACAGCCGAGAGAGACCAGGCCTGGACTGTCAGGGGCACCGACTAGATGACCTCATGGGTCCCTTGCATTCCTGATCTGTGATTTATAAATCTGTATTTCACTCCTTGAAAGTGACTCCAATAAAGATGAGTTTTCTTTTCCATTTCCATTACCCTCTTCGTTTGCCTCCTGACGCTCGGAGATGTTTCCAATTATAAATTCTCGTAAGCCCCGGCACGAAGCTCAGGCCTGAGAGATGTTCAGAAGATCCATTTCTGCATCCTGCGTTTTATTCACTCTTGGCTCCCCAGAGCACGACTGGCTCGACGAGAAACAGCAATTGCCACCAATTACCGAATTCCTCTCCTTAAATTTAGAGTGCACCCCCCTTTCTTTTTTCTGACGTCACTGTAAATCCTTCGCCTTCAGTCTCCTTCCACGAATCCATTTTCTTATCCACTGCACAGTTGCTCTAGAGACTAGAAGATCTCATCCATAAAAGTCGCTATCAATATATGCAAGAGTCTTTGCAGCACATTTTGCTCTGATATTGCTGTTCATAGATTCATAGATGCTAGGGTCGGAAGGGACATCAATAAACCATCAAGTCCGACCCCCTGCATAGGCAGGAAAGAGGGCTGGGGCTAGATGACCCCAGATAGATGCCTATCTAACCTCATAATAACACTTCTCCCTGCTCCATTACCATTGACCCAAGCTGTGATGGTTTCCAGCCACCTTTCCCTCCTTTCTCTGCTGGGTCTTCCTGGCTGCAGTGTTTTCTTTCTCCAAATGTCCTCACTTTCTCCTGGCTTGAGCCATGAACCATCCCAGCTTCCTCCGCTAACACACACCTTGCTTTATTCCATGCTGTCACTGTAGTTGCTCATTCAGCTCCTTCCCTGCCTATGATCACTTCCCACGCTGTAGAGTTGGAGTCTTGCTGTAGCCAGGATGGTCCAGGAAATGTCTGAGGGGCAGGGATGTTTAGTGGTACCGTTGGGAGAGGTGTTGGATAACTTAGACCTGAGGAAGGGCATGTGATGCCTACATGCTTGTCCAACAGCTCTCCCACCTATACAATTGGTCCAGGAAAAGATACCACAAACATCCTTGCCCCTATGATAATCTCAGTGCATCTATAGCACTGCCCATATTTCAGGAGTCTCCTTTCATGTTCTTCTGTTTTCACGGCCCTATCACACAACAGACCAGATCAGTTCTTGTCCCAGCCTGAGCGTGCTTGTTCCTCACCCACCCATGTGCTCCTCAGATGAATCCAGTCCTCCGTATCTGGCTTCTCTAGGGGTAACGGGATGACCCTTGGTTACCCAGAGCCCAACTAACAAGGCAATATCACTTGAGTAGCCCCATCATCTCTATTCATTTGCTGTTCCCCTAGCCGCCCCCATCTTTGGGGGCCTGATTCTCACGCTGGCATGGGCCGCTTGCCCATCTAGCTCTTCAGTGGGTCCCTGAGAGGTACCAATAGATTTTCAGGATCAGATTTCCAGTCTAGTCGCCGAACTTAAGCCACGAGGAGATGGCTCTCTCCCAAAGGCCTGCTTTTCTGATCTATGGAGCAGCAATCATTGGCTTCACTTCTCCCTATTTCAGCTTTTGCACAGGCCAGCTCTTCCTCAGCAGGTATCCGGACACCTACAATGAGGAGTTGCAATATCTTCTCAGCTGCCAGGCTAGGATAAAAGGGCAAAAGGATTGGACAAGAACCTAGCTGGGATCGTCTGACCCCAGCGCTCTTTCCAGACCTAAACTTCTAGATTAGTTACTTGATTCCTGGGCCATGCACCCCTTCTCTGCTGTTCTCCTTGCTGGGTTGGGCTGAGACCCGAACCCAGAGCTCTCCCTGGGCATGCATTTTTTTCTACATAGGAATTGTAGGAGTTGCTTATGCCAATGGCTGGGACTTTTCTAACCTGAGACGTCTCCTCTCAGCCTGTGCTGCATTACAATAGCTGAGGGAAGAAGCCTGTTGGTTTCCAAGGCCAAAACTCTCTAGGGCCCAAGGGGCAGGATGGTTTCAACAGCAGCCTCTCAGATGTGGGGCTCTCTCACTTTGGCAGCTCATCGAAGCAAGGGACTGGCGTGCATCATGATGAGTTTGCTTCAGTCTTCTTTGCTTAGCTGCAAATGATTTGGGGCCTGGATGCATGAAGAACACAAGTGGGGGGGAAGGGCAGAATTGCACTCTAGAGCAAATGTGTCACCTGCTTTCTTCTTCTTAGGAATTCACTGGCCTAATTCCCAGTGTGCCTCGGCCATGTGCACTTAATGGACACGATCACATGGGCCACATGTGTAGCCAGAGGGGTTCCCTTTCCCCCTCCACGTCTGCAAACATTTTTCTGGCTCCGGAAGTGCCAATTCTATCTGCCCGGGGCCGTTTATCATTGAGAATTTGCTCGGCTCTAGCAAGCAATGGCGCTTTCTACTACACATGCTGGTGGGGAGGAGGGGGAGAGCGACAGACGCATGCAGCCGTGGACAGGGGGGTGGGGAATTGGCTTTGAAATCCATACCCTGTTGGGGTGTGAGCGCTGCGTTCAGCCGGTGGTTGAGAGAAGGTCCAGCTGTGTGACATCCAGATGTGGATGGGAATGCTCCAAGGGTGGGGATGAGCAAAAAAGATAAAGGGTTGGGGCCCCTTTCTAGTTCTGCTTTGCAAAGAGCAAAGCACGTCGCTGCTGCCGCTGTAAATAAAACCTGCCCATAAATGTGTCCATTTGTCAGCACAATTTGCCTAGCAGACACAGCTGGGTATGGGATGAGGCTAACAGGCAGCTCCTATAATGCCGGTAGAAGGAAGCAGGTTGTTGGGCTGCTCCTTTGCTGATCTGAGCAGGGCCATTCACCAGTTCTTGATGCTGTGAGTTATAAAGTCATTTTTTATGAGAATCAGTAACACTTATGGCCTTCCTAGCTGGATCATAAAGGCACCAGGGACATTTGGCTCTGGGCTCCAATCAGTGGCCTGTGGGTACCTGGGAAAGCATCGCGCACCCACGGGGCTGCATCCCACAAACAGCTTGCACCACTGTTGAGCAGTTGCTGGTGTGGGAAGAATCCCAAAATAGATGAGCCCATGGTGTGGGGTAGGGTCTTGCATTGCTTCACGGTAACAGGCCCTGGTGTTTTGGAATAAGTCTCGACTTGGACCAGGATACTCTCTCCCCAGTGCTATCATTTGACTTTTGCCTTGGGTTTTATCTGGGTCTACCTGTATGTCAGTGCAATGGCAGTGGAACGGGGGAAGTGGTTTGCTTGAATTCAAAGACGGAGCATGAAGGTTTTTTGGTTTTTTTTATGGAAACTCGATTGCTTTTTCTTCCAGCCCTCGCAGGGGATTTTCTCCATGATTCATGCCTTGACATTTTGCATAATCCTTTGAGGGGTGTGCAAGATGGATTCTGAATGCAGAAAACTGATAATGCCTACATTGCTTGCTTTCTTAAGACTGCAGCCTTGGGAGATCCAGCTATATATTATCATGCAACTGATGGGTCATTTTTCTGTCTTTGGGGAGGCCTGTCGTCTTCCTCTCCCAGCTGATGGCCTTCCTGAAGAATCGGCATGCTCTCTCAGCCTGCCTTCTGGCAGCCTTTACATAGATTGAAATGTTTGCTATAGACAGGAAGGGGGAGGGGATGTTATGTCCAAGACAAACTGTTTGCAGGTGGATGGGAGGCATATCACAGGGAGAAGCTAAGGCTGGACTGATGGATCACTTTCTAATGGCTTTGGTGGTGGTGGGTGTTTTTTTTTTGTTCTCAGAGCGTTATCCAAGACTCCCCCGGTCCTTGCCCTGAATCAGACCCAGCATTGCAAACAGCTGGAAGGCCTGGTCATGTCCCAAGTGCAGCTGTGCCGCAGCAACCTAGAGCTCATGCAAACCATCATCCAGGCGGCGCGAGAAGTGATAAAGACGTGCCGCAAAACATTCTCTGACATGCGCTGGAACTGCTCTTCCATTGAGCTGGCCCCTAACTACCTGCTGGATTTAGAGAGAGGTAAAAGGCAGAGCTACCCTCCAGGATTGGCTGAGCATTAAGAGGTGGCCAAGGGTCAGGGGGCAGCTGGGGTGTGTGTGTAGGTGTGGGAACAAGAGCCCTGAGCAATGAAGGAGGTCATGGGGACCTCATTGCAAATGGGGAAGGGACTGTACATCTCTTTCCCGCTCCGAATTGGCCCTTACACTGTACTCGGCTGCAGTATCACTCTCAGGGGGCACACACAATGCATTTACTCTGCATTATGCATTTACATTTGCATTATGCATTTACTTTGACGTTACTCCATGGTAAAACGAGTGGACACAGGATGTATAGCATTGCCCTGGTGGAAGCCAGTCCTCTTTGGGGTAGTTATCCCCTGGAGAGGGCAGAGGAAGACTTACCCTGGGGAAAGTTACACTGATGTAGTGGGCATGTGTGCACGCCCCTAGCTGAGCAATGCAAGCAGACTCTCCTGCCACCTCGTGGCCAGTGCTATCACAGCGCCTGCTGCAGACTCAGATTGGGAGAGCGGGTTGGGTGTCTCCTCCTCACTACAGCACACATTTACTGCACAGTAAAACTGGGGATAAATTACTGCACCACACATTAACTCTGGTGAGCTCGCCACTCCACGGGGAATGCAAGCCATGGTGGATTTATCCAGTGGGGACCACTTGCAAGGAGTTGACAATGCAGAGGTGGGGACGGACGGACGCTGGCAGGGAAGCAGGACAGCAGTGAATTAAACTGTAGCAGCAAATTATCCCAGGACCAAGTTAAATAGAGTTGGCTGTAACTGCTGCATGTCCCCATTCTCAAATAGGGCTGATAAGTGTGAGGATTGGCTTCATCTCTATCCCATACCCACCTCCTATGATAAATCCCTGCACTGTGGCCCACCCAGCCAACTGCCTGGGTTACTTGCTGATAGTGCTGAAGCCCCAAGTGCCTATGACAGCCCCATTCTTTGGTTATAGGGGAGAAAACAATCCTGTTTTGCTTCTCCACTTTGTCTGTGATAGAGGCCCACTTTCTAGGGCAGGAGCAGGGGCTGGGAATGGGGCAGGGGCAAGGGCTGGGTAGTGCGGCACATTAGCATTGACGGCTGACTTGCAATGTTCTTGTCTTGCAGGCACAAGGGAGTCAGCATTTGTATATGCCCTCTCCGCTGCTGCCATCAGCCACACTATTGCCAGGGCCTGCACCACGGGGGACCTCCCTGGCTGTTCCTGTGGTCCCATCCCAGGTGAGACACCTGGACCTGGGTATCGATGGGGAGGATGTGCTGACAACCTCAACTATGGTCTTATCATGGGGTCCAAATTTTCAGATGCTCCCATGAAGATGAAAAAATCAGGATCACAAGCCAATAAGCTGATGCATCTGCACAACAGTGAAGTAGGGAGACAGGTAACCATCCAAGAGAGTTATTGTCATTGTACCATCATCTGTAGTGCTTGGTGGCTTTGTGATGTTCAGTGTCTCTGCCAGCTAGTGACCGACACAGGCCTTTTTCCCAGAGCACTCTGAACTCTGTTGGCCTGCAGAAGCGTTGCAGAAATGCTAATGCAGCCTCTGGGAGAATAATGCCTGTGTATACTCATGTACATAAAACCAGGAAAGAGATGTGGTCATGTAGCCTGGGCTGGGCACCAGGAACTCCTGGATTCAAGTCTCCCTTCTGGCATGGACTAAGGTACTCCCCTGGCCTCTGTTACTGCAGTGTCTGGCAACATATCCACAAGGAAGGGTAACACTATGATCCCATGTTCCAGAGAGGAAACGGAGGCTAAGAAACTTGCCCCAGGCCACATAGGAAGTCTGTGGCAGAGTATGGACTTGACTCCAGGACCCTGAAGGCCTTGGCAGTTGCCTGGACTGCTTCCTCTTCCTTTGCAAGCTATGGCACATAAATACGTGTTTCTTAGTGGTTTGGAGGCCTAAACACAGCATCAGGTGCCCGGGTCCTGAATCCCTATTTCAACTCTGGCGCTGACTCCTTGTGTGATATAGCATGGGTCATTTCACTGCCCTACCTCAGTTTCCCCATGCTTTCCCCATGCTCCTCACTGTGTGGAGCAACAAGTTAACACTAGCGAAGTGCTTTGCACCAACAACAAATGCTCGGGCCTGTTGTGTGAGAAAGGGGCAGAGCAGCAGCTTGTGGGGGTCAGTAGTGCTGATTCCCTAATCATGGGAGCAATTCTGGAGGTGCCTGACAGAGCCTGGAGTCTGGCTCTGCTTCTCAAACGCACTTCATTTCCAAATTAACGCTGGCACTTTGCCTGCACGAGCAGCCCTCCGCCAGCGAGGAGACGGAGTCGCAGGAAGGAGGGGGTGAAATCTCCTCCCTCTGGGGCTGCAGAGGCTTTTTTTGAGGTTCCCTTTCAGTGCATTCCTCTGCGCGAATGGAGCTGGATGCCGGCGTCACTCAGACTGCACAGACACTGCATGGTGCACAGCTCCACTCTCCTGGAGCCGAAGGGCTCAGAGGTGTGGGGAGGCGGCTAGCCCATATAATGCCGTGGTCCTCTCTGTCCTCCGTGGATGCCTGAGTATGCTGCTCCAGGCACAGGGCTGGAATAGCCCCTGTAGAGCACCTCCATAGCAGTTCGCTGCTGTTCCCATGCCCATTCGCCAAATGCCCGGACCCGGCTGTTTGCACCAGGTGCCAGTCATAACACAGAGCGCCGAGAGTCTCGTCCATGGCCGCAGAGGAAGTCCCTGCTTCCTATGCCCTGACCACAGCACCACATCTCTTTTCATGCTTGCTCTGGAATGTCTTGGATCCAATTTGGGGCTAATTCTTTTGACTGGCGTCAAGGGGCACGGCTCTGTTCAGGGTCCAGGGATCCCTCTTGTTGTATTCTGGGAATAATGCAAACAGCTAAAGCAAAGTAAATGTTTTCATGCGTAATATAGCAGTTCTTTCTATGGCTCACCTAAGGGTGTGGTCCTGGGATCTGGATAAATCTGAGCTCTGACAGCATGCTGGAGGCACAGATTTCATGTCAATTGATAGATCTGTTAGTCGCTGCTGAACTGAATGGCTGGAGTGCTTCCTCTGGCATCTCTAAACCAATAGTGGTAGATGCCAGGGAGGATAATGGATCACACTAGATCTATCTGGTTCAGTGCTGTCCCTCTAGTATCCACTGCTGTCACTGTTGGAGACAGGAAACTGGGCTAGAGGGACCAGTGGTCTGACCCAGTATGGCACATCTTCTGTTCTTATAGTCTTTAGGATTACATTTAAGACACTGACTCCTTGATCATCTCCTGGGAAGTTCTTAGTGAAGAGGAGGTCACTTTGTAACTCACTGCTTCTTTTTCCCAGGTCCTCAAAGCCTCTCTGGAGATGAAATGTAAGTGCCATGGAGTATCTGGTTCCTGTTCTATCAAGACCTGCTGGAAGGGTCTTCAAGAATTGAGGGACATTGCTCAGGATCTCAAAAACAAGTACTTGTCGGCCACCAAGGTGGTGCACAGACCCATGGGAACTCGCAAGTATCTGGTGCCAAAGGATATCGACATCAGGCCGGTTAAAGAGACAGAGCTGATTTACCTGCAGAGCTCACCTGACTTCTGCATGAAGAATGAAAAAGTGGGATCTCACGGGACACAAGACAGGTAACAACTCAAGGGGCAGATTTTGGTTGTACTCTCGCGTCTCCCACTGCCGCATGGCAGAGACGTGAGCGGTGGGTAAGTGTCCCAGCTGAAGTGGCGTGTCCCACTGGAGAGGGTCCGTGTGTCACACACTACACATATGTAACACACCCTATGACTCCCCCACCCTTTAATATACACACAGGAGCAGCCAGTGGCAGGGACTGAGCTGAACATGAAGTGCCCCAGCTAGATCAGAGATGTCAAGGGCACCGGAGCCACCTGCCTCCCAGAGCAGGGTCAGCTTCTCTCCAAGCATGAGGCTGGGATAAGACACAGCAGCACCTACACTGCCTACTTGCAGGTGTCGTCTCCTTCCTGAAGCTGGAGACTGCTGCCAAATACCTCTGGGGCTTGTGACAAGTGTCTGGGACAAGCCTCATGAGGGGAGAGGAGAGGACACAGTGTGTGAGCATCAACCTTGTGCTATATGATCTCATCATTGCAATGCTAGAGGGACTGTAAGGAATGAAGATACCTCTGGGATCATCAAATCCTTTCGTCCTGCCTAGATTCACTCTCACCTGCCCTCGCCGAAGCTCTGCTGTAGCAAAAAAGATTTTTAATAAATGATATAGGCACATACGTGATCGAGGCTATGAAGCTAGCTTTGGCTCAGCACATAAATATGATATTGAAATAGGGGGTGTTGACTGGGGAAACGCAGATCTGGGGATTAGGACAGACCTGAGGCAGAGCATTTTGTGCCCCCAAACCTAATATCTCTCCCCATTATATAGTCTGAAGTGGTCAATCTGTGGCAAAAGGCAGCCTCCGTACGTGACATGTGGCAGAGCAGGGAGGGGACAGGCAGCGCAGCAGCAGATAGAGCAGGAAGCAGAAAGCAGAGCAGGAGATCACACAGGGATCAGAAATCAAGAGTAGCAGATTAGGCAGAGGAAGGGGATCAGCAGTGGGGCTAATTTGGGGCCTGCGCTGTTATAAGTGATCCAGTAAAAGACACTACCAAACAAGCAGTCTTCAAATACGTGAAAGGTGATTACAGAGAGGATGGAGATGGGCTTTTCTTTGTGGCTGTGGGGGACAGGAATAGGAGCAATGGCCTCAACCTGCGGCCGGGGAAATTTAGGCTGGAGATTAGGAGGAACTTTCTGGCTGTGAGCGAGGTCGAGCGTTGGAACAGGCTGGAGAGAGACATTGTGGAGTCTCCATCCTTGGCAGCTTTCAAGAGCAGGTTGGACACTTGGCTGGGATGGGCTAGTCAGGGACGGTCCTGGCTTGAGCAGGGGGCTGGACTAGAGGACTTCCCGAGGGCCCTTCCAGTCCTGCTTCCCTATGATCCTATGAAACCTCGCTTCTGGGGTGTGGAAAGCACGCCTTTCTCCAGAACCGAGATACTTCTCAGAAGGAATCTGGCCTGATCGAGCCGACTAGAAGGAGATGGTGCATAGGTGGCGCACGTCTTAGGAAGACCAGCTCAGGAGTCTCTGATATTGTGGGGCAACTCGACTTCCACTTGGCCAACTGGGACAAAAAGTGATGACCACGAATGGTTGGCCTGTTCTGGAGAGCTATGGAAGGGTTACTTTCCTGAAGCCGTCAGGAACTGGTGCTTACCAGCTTGTCCTAAGTTGAGGGCTAGGCATCTTTTGCTCCTCAGACTGATGGTGCGATCATGCTAAGCAAACAAAGAAGAGCCAGGCAACATCTGTAGTCAATCCAGCTGTCTGGAACAGGCTTGTGGCAACAGGTTTCTGGTGGGGAAAAAACCCCATTTGGATGAACTCAAAACTTTTCAAGAAATCATATTCAATTTGACAACATTTTGTTTAGACATAATTGCTAGAAAAGGTTGACTTTATTTAACAAAAGCCTTTGGTTTCAGAGTGACTTTTTACTTTGCATTTTATGCATTTTATTCACTTAAAAAAAAATAAAAGGGGGTCCACATTAAAACTAGGTCTTTTACATGTGTCTGAATGGGATGTTCTGGTTGAACCAGCGTGAATCTTGTATGGCATTTCATTTTTTCAATAAGTTATGTCAGGGGGAGTTTTAAGTTGGGCTTTTCAGCCTGGTTTGGCACGAGAAGGATGCCAGCTCTGTCACCATCCCGGGGCTAGTGGTGCTGTGCGGCTGGTAGAGAAGGGTCCCCTGAACATGAGACTGATGGTGAGAGCATCAGAGGCTCAAGATGGCGATGTCAGAGGTGGTGATTTTTGAAGGGAGTTTCCTAAAGAGATGTTTTTCGGACAACGTGGGGTCAGAGACGGCTGACACAGAAGCAGTGGGGAGGATGGCAGAGATAAAATGCAGTGGTGATTTCCCCACTTGCCTAGTAGCCTTAGAAGTCAGGTGCTATGTCTATAAATTAATTTGCACAGTTGTTCATGGTCTGCTTGTCCGGAAGATGTCCAGCATCCCAGAACAGGAGTCTGCAAAGTACCATGTAATGCAAGCTTTGCCCTCGCAGCACGGTTTCTGTACTGAATTAGCAAAGGAAATAGGTGTAAAATCCACACAGTGTGTCTCCTGATCCATCTGTGCTCCCCAACGGGCTGCGTAGTAGCTAATCCAGGCCTCTTCACTCTCCGGCGGATGCTTTTTTTCCACCCCCACCACTATTTTTTTTCTTTCAGACATCACACGTAATACCTTTTAAATGCAGCGGCCCCATTCTAGCCTGGCAGGGAACAGAGAGGTAGGGTGTCATGGCAGAGAGGCACAGAAGAGTGCTGTTATGTAGAGAGGGGGGGAAAAATATATGGTTCACACTTCTAACACAGAGATGTATAATGTTCACATGGAAATATTCCATACAGGTTTGATTTTATAAGTAGAGTCCCAAAGGCCTCTTCATATTTTATTCCTTTTCGCTTTCAGGAGATGTAGCTGTTTCTCTCAAGCCTGCCTTTTTTTAGGAGCTCTAAAGCCAATGCATTTAAAAGGAGTTTCCAAAGATGTCCCACAGCCTGTTTCTCTTTTCGCCCCACACCCACCCGCTCGCTCTCACTTTTTGGCCTCCTCCCGGCCACTCGGAGGAGAGACGTGTTTGTCCTCGGCAGTGCTGCCAGCGGCGCTCCGCAGATCAGCGCACAGGAGGCGTTGGAGCAGCGAGCGGGGACGCCGGGCTTGCTCTGCATCCATGTGCCCTTATCTTTGCCTCTCCTCCGCACCCCTACGTAACACAGAGCCCGTGAGCACATTGCACCCCCTTCCCAACCACGAGCAGAGCTTGGCAGATAATTTTTCAGCTCTTTGGCTCCGTTTAAAAGCACAGGGAGGAGACGGACACGCTGCGGCTCCCTCAACAACCCGGGCTCCCTGCATTGTGTGTCCCTTCTTGTTATTTTAGGTTGTGTTACATGAGCCGGGACTATGAGCTCATTCCCGGGCTCTTAACCCAAGAGCTATTTGCTAATTAGTGCTGCTAACGGAGGGGGGGCGGTTTGGGAAATTCATAAGGCAAAACAAAAAGGACTCGAGCAAAAGGTGGGGAATAAGCCGGTTCATGACGTAAGATCCTTTTACACCATCTAATTTTCCTACCACCGGTATTAAGTGGTGCAGTTTCTGAGGAATGGTGTGCTTTTTTTAATGGGGCCATTAGTTTGAATGAGAAGAAAAATAGGCTCGTTCTTTTGGATCATGTCAAACTGGGATATGGCCCCCCACGCACACACATACACACACGTGTGTGTACATCCTGGTAATTAAAGCAGTGTAAAATGGGGTATTGGGATAAAGTAGGAGGCTCCTGGCAAACTTCCATTGCCCTGAATAGACTGGGTTTCATTTTTACCCTATAGGGAACGGTGTTGCACTGGCAGGTGGATGGAAAACCAATCAGCCTTTCCTATCTCTGCCGTCTAGCATTTGTCTAATCATCTCTCCCATTGCTTACCCAAATTGTGTGTTTCTGAGTATCTGGGGAATCGAGTTACTTTGTAGCCCAGCTGGGTGAAAACTTTCCTGGGGCGTTTGGACCAGGGGCAGTCAAAAAGGCTTTCAAGGAAATACTGGGCCTCTTTTTGAATAAGCCTGGGATCGTTTTTAAAGTCGCTCTGGGCTATCCTAGAGTTGTTCGTTGAATCTAGAAATGATCTTAAAATGGGGAGGGCTCAAAATTTACACCTGCAAAATTAGGCTTAGGCCTTACTGGCTAAACTCAAAGGGTGTTTGTACACGTGCTTGTGCCGAGTGCTTTTAATAAAAGCGGCGCGTGCATTTGTATAAGCAGCAAAATGCGCATCAGCGCTGAGAAAATGGTGGCGGTACGCTTTTGCACTAAAACACATTGAAGGTGTTTTAACTCAAAAGTGCACCGCCACCATTTTCTGTGCGCTGACGCGCGTTTTGCCACTTATACAACTGCACGCAACACAGCGCAGTGCACGTCAGCTCGTATACAGACCAGACTCAATCAATCGAGTGTGCGCCGACGTGCCGGATCTCCAGCGCGTCATGAAAACGTACGTGTATAGATGCCCAGACTTGAGATCTGAACACTATTCGAGTCTTTGAAGCATACAAAATCCGGAACAGGATCTGAACGTTGCGGTTTGAGTCCACGTCTGTTAACAGCTGCCTTGGAAGAGACCAGGGCTCTAGTCGGTTTAAGCCAGAGTACGCGTATTTATTTATCGCTGCCACGTTTTTGCATAAGAGAAAAATGGTCTCGAGGGGGAAAAAAAAGAGACACCGAAAGGAGCTGATAAGCAAAGCAGCCCGCTGGATTTACGATGGTTGATAAACAGAGCAACTCCGCGGAAAGAGATGGTTTATGTTCGGGTTTCGGAGCTTTCTTGTACGAAAACACCCTATAACTTATTTTTAATGAGGTCGTTCAGTTCCGTTTTCCTGGCAAACCCGGTTATCAGCTTCCAGTGGAAGATGAATAGGACCAAATTATGAAACCGAGATGCGTTCTGTGCGAAAAGAGGCAAACGACTTAACCTTCTCTATCAGGAGGGCGCAGCGTGTCGTATTTCATGGACTGT